AAATTCAACAAGGTTGGATGGAACATACATGTGGATGTGACAAGTCTTATCTAGCAGATACCTTCCACATACTAAGTTCCTGTCCGTTTAGCATGTTTTCATTACTTTCTTGGTAAACTGATGCCTAAGTTGTATGTGTTCAAAATCTCTGGATTTAAGTTCCTAAAATTAGTTGTTATGGATAAAATGCTTCGTATTTGCATGGAGAATCATTTCCAGTTTTCATACATGATTGAGTTTATTTGGCAGAGTGGCTGCTAGTACTCTTCCTATTCTTGCCAGCTCTAGCTAGTGGGAGTTATAAAAATATAGGGCTCAGATCTTTTCTCTGTGAAGTGCTCTAAGTTGCTCAGATATGAGAAGTTAACAAACTGCTGCTCGGTATACTTACAGAAGCCCAGGAATGAGTCTTTGAATGACCATGACATCAGTTTGGTTTCCCTTTGATATGATAATTCAGAAAATAACTTAGATTTTGCACAGAAATGTCCCTTCCCTGAGTTGCTTAAATCTCATCACTGTATAAACTCTCGCCATCTCAAGAATCAGCTTAGCTAAAAATCTTTAAAGAACTGAAACCACAAATGAGAACATTTGAGAAAACATGCCAGATGTCATGAAGAAAGGTATATGTTAAATCCAAATACAAATGTACATATAGCAATATTTACTCTCCTTCCCAGTTACGACTGCCTGGTTAATCAATAAACCAGTACAATTGATCTAGGGGCTAAGAGTTAGCTATAGATTCGAGGAAATACAACATCCATAATCTGATAAGAATTCAGAATTTACAAACCAGAAACAAGAACAAATATGTGTCAAAGGGAAAAACATTTGGTTTTGTGTAAATTTCATATATCTTACAGACCAGGGCTTTACAGAAACCCCACTACAAGTCAGCATAAAGAGCAAAGGGGGCTAGGAGAGCTAGATATGCCTAAATAAGTTGGCAGTGATGAAATTTCAATGCATGACCATGTACAGAAAAGAAACAAAATGGCAAGAACTGGAAAAATAATTTATAGGGAATTTTTATCAAAGAAAGGAAGAATGACCCTGGGAATTGAATCTCAACTGTGATGTAAAAATCGTAAAGCGAGGGCAAATGAGTGAGAAGATACACTAGGAACTGGTATGTACTTGAATACTATGAATCAAAGCAGGAAGGTCAATTCAAGAAAGAAGATGCAGCCTATAAAAGACAATAAATAGAAAAGCATTCCTTAAGTATGAGGGGACTTCCAAAAGTTTTCAGAAAAATGGAATTGAGGTACAAGTTTATTTTGGTGCAAAATCCTTTTGAAATCCATGCGCTGTTTTTCCTAATAGCCATTTTCCATGAACTTTTAAAAGATCCTTCATATTATAAGAACAAAAGAAGGTTAAAGGAAAATGGCCCCTTCATAAGATGGAGAGGAAAAGTAATCATAGACCACACTCATCAAAAAGG